GGAGTTGAACTGAGAGAGTGTGCCGTTCACAGACACCAGAATGAACGAGTTCACAATAACGTTCATCAGGCAGTAATACAGTACGTTCAGTTCACGTTCGCCCAAAATATGAACGAGTTCATGAACTTTCGTTCAATGAACGCGTTCAGGCACAACACTGCATTTCAATATCCTGAGCAAGAGGGGCGGTTATTAGTTATTTTAAAGGTGGAAGGTGCTCTCAGTCCAGGATCAGTCAGAAAATTCACAAATAGTTTACACTGTGCAAATGATTCACCACGTCTGCATGTATGCAAAATGGAAGGGGTTTAGTCCTTCTGGACATAATATAGTCAACAATAACCTCCTTGGTTTGTTGGTGTTAAGGATAAGGTAATTCTTGGAGCATGTAAAGTTAGGAGACTGAGTCTGGAAGCATTACATTTATTTTACATCCTTTGGACAGAGAGCATACAAAAGCTCTGACTTAACCATCCTTAGCACATACATTTATACTATTCAAAAAATCCAGGGACACTCTCTCCCTCCAATGAAACTAAACCCAACCCCTGCACAAAGATTTCTCTCACACAAGAACATCTGGTTATTCCCAAGAAAAACGCTTCAGTTCATCAAGAAAATAAATTTTAGCCACGGCATGAAGGAGGCTGTGTGAACTTATCTCTCATGACCATCCCCCTAAACAGTACAGCACAGTGAATGGTCAGGATATCTCTATCATTACTCCTGTTCAAACAGTCACTATCAAAACATTTTATCTCACAAAATAGGTCAAGGAAAAATAAGATTCCACAAGCACCACAACGAATTGTGGACTACTTCTCTCTAATGGGTCTCATCCTTGTCAGATACCCGATCCACCACAGGGAGGCTCTCCACAAATTTTACACCTTTGTACAACAAATGAAATGCAGATTAAATCCAACCAGAAGATATTGCTGGGATAAATCAGTTATCTAAAAGTTATGAATTAGCAACAGTCATTTTGGGAAAAAAACGGATGTGATTAACTGCATAAACAATTTTTATTTTTGAAATTTGTTTGGTGCCTTAGCACTAATAATAAAATCCACAAAATAAACAAGGAATCCACTAGTAAACCACCCTAATATAGCTAGACGAGCTTTTATAACTCCCCCAATTTAACAACTGTAAAATTCCAAATTGGTGATTTTGCTCAAATTAAAAGCAGACCAAATAATACTTGTTAGGTGATGATAAACAGCTCTAAATATGTGATCCGACAAACATCTTGGTCATAAATTTCTTCAAGTAGAATAATTTGAAGCCATCTTTTTTGATGATCCCAATCTTTTATTAGGCTGAAAGAATAACAAAGAAAGAAAATGGGGAAGGTGAATAAATACCTCATTAAGTAAAAAACAAACAAAAAAGTCAGAGTCATGCCCAAAAGAATAAGATAATATGTTATATATGATGTTACTCACGTTTTTTTTTTTTTTACTCTAGACGTTATCTGAGCCATTTTCTGGTCCATCTAAAACATGAATATAAACATATTTAAAGTGGGCCATTAAGACAGAATTTATTTCAAATCTAACAAAATATAAAACAAATAACAAATAAAACAAAACATATACTGTACCAAACGCTGTAATTCTAGAGCCTCTGATTGATTCGTAAATCGAAATGTCTCCTACAGTTAAACAGAGGGGAAAAAATGCTTTTAAAAAATTATCATTTTTTATGATCTTTTAGCAGCAAAACTAAGATCTAAAACTTACCATGGAGAAGAATAGAATAAACATGGGTCTCATTTTCATTAATTGTTCGTGTGGCTTCGTTGATGTTTTCTGACTGAGTGAAGCTAAGGTATAGAAAGAATTCAATATGAAACCCTATAATGATGTGATGTCAAATTTAACATAGGAATTGTACTAACCTGTCAGACCTCTGTGCTGCAAGGCGGAAATAGAAAAAAAGGTGCATTTATGCTTGTTATATCTTAGGATTTATCCGTGATTTTTGGGTTGATTTTGGGTAGAATAATATCTCACCTGTTTTCTTTCTTAAGCCAAACACAGGCAGCAGAGCAAGTATCCCTCCAACAATAAGCCCAGAGCAAAACAGCACTACAGACATGATATTGTTGTATGGAATTCCCTCATGACCTGTGAGGAGAAATTCTTTTAACTTCAGAATACCACTTATCATAAATAAAACAGTTAACAACAATACGGTCAACTATGTTATAAAACTCAATCACTGTAATAAAGCAAAACAAAGGCCCCTTAAGAATTGAAACACAGTGAATGCTCTGCCTTATAGTCCACCTATGTGATTAGTCATAGGGGTGAAATATTAGACCTGCTCCCTATGTTATAGAATTAAAGGTAATTATAAAAGAAATGTAACAGAAATACATAAAATGTTGAATACATTTTGTATAATTAGAAAATCTTGGTTAACTTACAGACTCTTTTTATCTTGATGTGATCACTGTGGTCTGTATAGTAAATGGGTTCTCCCCTTCCTGCTCTGCACCAGTACAGTCCTTCCTCCTCGACACTGATTTGTTCATTTGTGTAGGAAACAGTTTGATTTAGCGTCAGAGGCTCAGATGATTTATCATCCCTGTACCAATAATACTTCCAACCAGAAGATAATGGATATGATTGGTTCAATGAACAGGTTAGGGTCACTCTGCTGCCCACTTGTAGATATGTGCTCTCTGCCCTCAGCCTGGCCTTCGGTTTCCCTGTTGTGGTATTTTGGAAAACAGAGAAAAGAACTCCATTAACATTGTTTTTAACAGATCTGAAACACACTATCCTGAGATATAGTGACCTTTGCTTCTATACATAAAAAATAATCTCTTGATAATCTTCACCTGTTAAGGAAAGAATATACGTTTTTACCTAACATTTTAAAAGTATGTTCTTAGTTCAAATTTCCCTTAAAATTTAAAACTTTTACCAAAAATAAAAAAAAGCAACAAATACAAAAGAGAAATCCATATTTATTCAGACAACAAATTAACAACAATTAAATACATTATCATTACTTTTTTTTAAGATTTGAGAAAACGGTCAATTCCTTAACAAATGTTGATTCAGTGCACTTTCAGTGAAATTGTGTGAAAATGTGATTGTTCCATCTATGTTCAAGTACTGTATGTCTAAGGTCAGTTTTTTGCTACTTCTCTTAACATTGTAATAGTTAAAGGTAACCTTTAATTGTAACTACCGTAGTAACATTTTTAAAGTGACTCACTAAACACATCCAGTTCTGGATAACCATGTATTGTCCAGAAATATTTTAAAATTATTAATGACCAATAACTGTTAATAGAAATAATAGTTTCTTAACTTATTAACACCTGAACTAAGTCTTAAACTAAACTGGTCAGCTATTTTATGTTTTAGGATGACTTAACTATTTCTCAAGGTGGGACCCTAAATATGTGAGTTTTGCCATAATTAATATATATATATATTTTTAAACTTCATTATAATTTCCCTTCTTCTTGGTGTGCACTACAATTTGGTGAACAAAAGAAAAACTACATTCTATCATACAGTATTAAAATCATGCACATTTCTATACTACGAAATGAAAAAGATTGATTGATTAATAATTTAAGTCTATGAGTAGATTTAAATAATAATTTAAGTCTATGAGTAGATTTAAACTATTAGACTTGGATTAACAGTGTTGGAACAGCAAAGTGAGAAATACATTTCTTTGTCAGAAAAACCACTTCTGTACAAAGTAAATGGTTTGAATTGTCTTGCTTGTGATACATATTTTTATCTGTACACCAAAGTTATCTTTTATATTACAACAAAAGAAATATCATATTATGTGCTTATATCCGTGAAATAATTGCCCCGTAATAGGCTGGTAACCTGCCAATGGAATGCCCCCCCTCTCCTCCAGTAGATAGGCACCAGCAACTGCGTGAGTGACTGAGTTTGTTGATGAGTGAGGGGCAGATAGGTGGATGTATCAAGCATGACTTACCCAGTGCTGTCAGTTTGATGGCTTCACTCCACTCTGTGGAAGAATACCAGTCATTTACACTTCTACACCTGCACTCGTATTCATCACTGTGGGACTCAGAAACATTAAGGGTCAATTGTTTTGCTGGGTACGAAGCTGACCCAGGCATCCTCCATTCACACGTCCACTCAGTGGTTTCTCCTTCCTGGACCTCACATGTTAGAGTGATCGTCTCACCGCTGAAGATCTGGGGCCAATTTGGTTGCAGATTCACAACAGCCTTGTTGGAAACTGTTTCCATCACATATTAGCAGGTAGAAAACAAACAGAAAAATCCAGTGAAAAAATGTACATAAGCAGCTTAGCTTTTTGGTATTCTTTGTTTATAAACACATCTAATGCTCACAGGTAATCTCAATTATGACCTCATCACTTCGTGGAGTGTACACCTCTGGTTTTCCTCTCACTCCTACACATCGGTAAATTCCTCCTTGAGATACAGTGATATTTTTGCTTTCTTCAGTACTGGTGTTGACTTGAACTTCATCTTTGCCTCGAATTTGTCTGAACCATTTATATTTCCATCCAGAAGTGCTTTTCAACGAGCAGGTCAGTGTCACATTGCCTCCTGCTGGTATGATTGTGAGACCTGAGGACACTGTGACGTTTGGTTTATCTGCTTTATTTCAAAAAGAAAACAACCTTTTCACAAAAAATACATGGAATAACAATATTAAATTACAACCATACTATTTCATACTATGGTATATACTTCAAAATGCTATAAAGCACTTTAAAGTTAACAGTGATTTACAAAGTAGTGCACATATGCGTATATGAATGAAATATTAAGTTATGATATATCTTTTGCCACCTCCGGTCCAGGACTTCATTAAAAATAGATTTTCTAAGTTTTCAATAAATAAAAAAAAAAATAGATAACACTAAAATGAGTTATATAAAGAATCAGCATCTTGAAAAGATTCTCATGGTAACAGAAAAGAAAGCAGTCTTGAAAAAGTTCTTCAAATCTGGGGACTAGATCATTCCACAAATTAGAATGAGCGATGAAAGCAGAACCAAAAGGCGCCAAGGTATGATTGTGAATGATGTACAACTTCCTTGCTTCATATCACAGATATGATTGTACATTTTCCCACGTGAATTAATTACGTTAGCAATTATGTTTTTTTTTTGTTTTTTTAAAGTACGTTTTTTTCTGTTCTACTGAACAAAAAGCACTTTTACAGCAAGGTAAAGTTTTCTTACCACAATTTCCCGACACTTTACAAGTTTGGCAACGTACCTTTACATTTTTTACTAAAAGAGTATCACTGCACTTTTTATCATTTAAGTAGCTTCTCTGAAATGATAAGTGACTACATGATAAATTATCAGTGTGAACTTGTAGTACTTTATCAGCTTGACACTACGTTTTGTCAATCATTGTGGTAAGCTACATTCTATGCACTGTGGTGTTAACATCACAAGAGCACTCACAACCTAATCCATTTATATAAAGCTAAACAGCTGTAACACTAATTGTGTACTGCAATGGGAAACAAGATAATGGTTTTAAATATAGTTTACCTTGATGGGTGAATCTACTGCAAAATTTAAAACAAAGGGTCACTTACTTTGATCGTCTCCAAAACAAAGAGGAGTATTTAGCATGAGAATAAAAATTAAATGCTCAATCATCATTAGATTTATCCAAATAATTTTACAAGTTATCTGTGTCTTTCTTTCAACCGCTCTGTCCTTCCGCTAGAACTATTTCGGATTTTATGTACGCAATAGATGACATGTTTCAGCCTTTGCTTTTTCTGTCCAATAAGAACATCCTGATGCTGCATAAAAATCCCCACTGCATAATTTTAGATTGACTAAAGAACATTTCCTGTTTAGCAACTTACATTTTCCCACACTGGTTTCCTGTTGTGATGCTTGATATAGATATAGCTGAACGGTTGTGGTAAAAGAAAAACAGCACAATCTATTTCTATTTTAGATACCGGAGATGATTAATTGATATATTTATGAATGTGTGAATAACTTATCCTTTCTTATTTAACCAAGTCTTAAATAAGATCATAGAACACCTTTGGGGCTGTCAACTGTGGGACTCAAAGCTTGGGGACCCACAAAGAAGCACAGAGGAGTGCACGCTGAGGGGCCTCAGAGGCAAAGAACGCCGGCTGAGGGGCCTTGAGGATAAACTCCCACTGAGCTCTAAGATCAGTTCATCAGCGGGCTCAGGGATCTATAGAGAGGGAACACTACGGAGGTCTGATCCTGAAGAGGGAGCACTACGGAGGTCTAAGCCTGGAGAGAGGACACAAGAAGGGTCTGAGGCTAGAAAGAGGACACTAGAAGGGTATGTTAGAGGGACCTGAGGCTAGAGAGGGGGCGATAGAGGGACCTGAGGCAAGAGGGGATGCAAGAGAGGTCTGAGCCAAAAAGGGAAACACTGGAGAGTTCTAAGTCTGAAGAAGGGAAATAAGAGGGGTCTAAACCTGGAGAGGAATAACTAGAGGGGTCTAAGACTGGAGAGGGAAAACTGACCTGGTTGGGTGTTGGAGGGAGGCTAACAGCAGGCTGACCAGGGGAGCTCTGCAATTTCTGGATATGATCCATTAGGAAGTCAAGTTTCTCTGCAAATGTTAACAGGAACCTGCCCCGCTGTTCGTACAGCTGTTTCATCTCCAGCTGAAGCAATGCCAGGTACCCCTCCTGTTTCTCCATCTGTTTCTCCTGAGCGTCCGAAACTGAGACCAAGTCTGCTGGTTTGTACTGTGAGAGTCTAACGGGGGGGTCGAAGTTTGACAGGACCCAAATGCAGACACAAAAGCTTGAGGTGGTTACTCAAAGCAAAACTCAGGAGCAAAAATCCAAAAACGTCAATCCACAAAAATCCCAAAATACTGAAAACCAGGAAAACTCACAACAAGGGGGCAAAGAAAAGATGACAAACCACCAAAGAGTGATTAAACAGGAGGAGAATAAAAGGAAGAGAGAAACAAAGACCAGGCTAATTAGCAGATTGGGAGCAGATTGGGAGCAGGTGTAAGCAGCGGCAAGAACGGAGCTAGGGAAAAAGAGACTGACACATGAGGGCAAGCAAGAAATATCTAAGAAGTCAAACAAAAATAACTACAACACAAGAATGTGTTAACCGTTCCTGCTCAGTCTTCTGACCGTGGTCGGGAGACACAGGGGAGTTCCTTTCTCCAGGGCCGAAGGGAAAGACTTACTCCGGGGTTAACGCCTTCTACGCCTTGCACATGAACCACACGTTGGCACGAAAGTGGCTGGAAGTTAACTTTTAATAGCGCCAACTAACATAAAACTGCACAGACTTTTTCCTAACTGCTGCTCCGGTCGTCCGCTA